CTGGGACGGCGCCGACGTCCGCGTCGAGCGGCGCTTCGTGCCCGAGAGCTGCCCGCGGGCCGTGCGGCCCGGAGACTTCGTGCGCTACCACTACCTCGGCGCCTTCCCCGACGGCACCCGCTTCGACTCCAGGTCTGGCTTGCGCCCGCCTCGGGGCTTGGCCTGCGGCCCCCCTGCCCCCGGGGTTGCAGCCCCCGCGGGCTTACAGCCGCAGCCCCCTCGGGGTTTGGTTCCTGCGAGGGTGCTCCTTGGGGAGAGGAGGGGAGCGAGGGGTGCTGTCCCCACGAGGGTGTTTTGGGGGGTGTTCAGAGGTGCTGGTGCTGGGTGGAGGCTGCGGTTGAGCTTCCGTTCGGGTCCCGCTGCTCCTCCTGGCTGCGACCTGCCGCGGCCCGCAAGCCCTTTTGGTGGCCCGCAAGGCCTTTTGAGGTGACCAGTCCTAAGCGGGCTGCTGGCAAGCTGGGCGATGCCGTACGAGCAAGAACGCGGGGTGTACGGGCCCCCATGGGAAGATGCCTTTGAAACATGAAAGGGCAAAGGGCTGGGACTGCTGGGGACTGGGGGGGGCAAGACCTCCGCGCTGGCGGGGGCCGGTTTGCAGCAGCTTACCTGCCCTGATGGGTCCCCACCAATGTTCTTCCAGCGGCTTCTCCAAGGCGCTGATTGGGAGCTTTCTGCTCCAAGAAACAAGACGACTGTAAGGATATTCGATTAGCCTGGTAAATGGGAGCACGTACGATATCGCAGTCAGTCACAGCATTTAGTGCTTTCCTGCCCGTTTCCTATGTCTTCTCTGGGCTCAAACCTACTAGAACGCAAACATTTCTGAATCATTATCTTTACCAGAACTACAAGAATTATCAGGCTGTGCTTACATAGAGATTTTTGGATAAGTTACCCTTGAATAAATGTGACCTATGTACAGTGAAGTGTCTGGCCATTTTCCTGCTGTTATTTTGGGATCAGGAAGCCTAACAGTGGGATCAGGAGATTGTGAGGGATGCTGCTGACAGCTTGTTTGTTTTTTCTCGCTTCATTCATTACCCCTGGTCAAAGCATTACTCTGAAAGAAACAGCAAAATGTATTTTCAGTAATCCTGGTAATCTTCCTTGTGCTTCAAGGAAAAGCTACAGCCTTAGGGAAATAACTGTCTTTCAAAGGAAGCTCATGTTTTCCCCTGGAGCTGACTGTACTTCAGTCCGCCGGTAGTGCCACTTCACCAGCGCTTCTCCGGATAAAGGGTGAGATGCGGTAGCTGGCGGCTCGGCTGGCGTTGGTGCAGTTTCAGTGAAAAAGCACAGCAAGGACAGGGAATTCATTGGCAGCTGACAGTCTCGGAAAATAAGCCTTAGGTGCAGATGTGAGGACACACAAAGAAAGGCGGCATCCTCGCTGCTCATTTTACAAATATGCGACAATGGGAAAACCAGCCGCGTGTTCGGAAATGTGTTTCTGATTTCTACAGATATGTACGGGGGCTTACTTGTACGCCGAGCTGTACCAGCAAATTTCTGCACTGAGGCAGGGCACCTGGAGGGGCTTCCCAGGTGTTGGCCCTGGTTTAATTCCAAGTTCCTTGCCATTTGTCTCTGAATTATTTGGGGCAGGAACAGGCTGTGCAGAACCGTACAGCGTTTATCTCTTTGGCTTCTCTACGTATCAGTAAATAAATAACAACGATGTGCGCAGGTTTTGGCGGTTAAACCGCGACATGATGATCGTCTAATCTAACTTGGGTATTTGTATGGCCATCTTCATATCAAAAGGGTGCAAAAAGTCAGGTTTCTTCAGACTGTCGTTTTTTTCCTAGGTGGCAGCTCATGCTGACATACGTTTTTGTTGTTCGCTAACTGTGGTCTTTTTTTAAGATTGATGACAGTGGTCTGTCGTGTTAAGACAATGGAAAACCAGGAGGGTTTTATGTTCTGTAGGTTAATGGAAGAAATATTTCAGAGTATCTGTTGTAAAATCTTTAGTGTTCCCTGCATACAAGTTAAAGATACTCAGTCAATTTATACTAACATTAGCCTGTTAGAAAGCCCATTTTTCTACCTGCCAGAGTTGCTACCTGTTTTTTTTTTTTTAATTTATGAAAGTGTTTACCAGCATCAGTTTAGTCAACCACTACTGTGAAATCGGTCTAGAAAATACCCCGAGTGTTGAACTAAGGGCAGTTTTACTTTGTTTCCTCTTCAGCTGCTGAAAATCTTCTTGAGGTTTAAAATTATTTTTCTGTATTTCCAAGTAGAAGGCAGTAATACAGCTCTTCTTGTTAACAGGCTGTTGACAGAGTCTTAGTCATCATGACTGTGTCACGTAAATTAACTAATGTGCCTGTTTATTCTTTTTTTTTTTTTTTTTTCCCTGATCAGTATTTGCATTTTTATTTCAAAAATTTTGGTATGGTCACCAAATGATTTGCATTTTTAAGTCTGAATTTAATTGCCTAGTCATCTGCTGCTGATTTGGTAAATTCCACTAATAGAAACTAATTTTGCTTAGTTTTAAGGGACCTGCAAAGTCAATCCTGCAAAGCTGCGTGGTCTGTTCACTACTTTGGTCAGTTCTCTGCTTAGCATTAATGTTTTCTTAATCGTAGGTTTATTTTTGGCAAAAAAAGCTCCTCTGTTTTCAGTCCATTGCAGATGTATTGCCAAGCTTTGTCAGTCGCTGCAAAGTACTGCTTTTTGGGGGTTTTTAGAAACTATTATGTTATTAGTCTTAACATCTTAATTATGGTTTTGTGTGGATAATAGAATTTGTCAGGAGCTAATTTAAATATTTTCCATCCTTGCCTGGGAGTAGGAATATTTGTGCAACTGAAAGTGAATGCTCTGTATAGAGGGTTGTCTATTTTAAGGGAAACGTTTGCCGGGAAAAAAAAATAGATGGAGCAAACAGAGAGATCACTCAGTAAAATATTTGAGGGATTGGAGGCTCTGGGACTGTTGGGAGGCTCAGTATGTTGTGGAAGTGATGTGTACGGTCTTTGAAGGAAAGTTTGACATCATTTCCCTAGCGATATCTAGCTGCTGGCTGCTTTCCAGAATATTTCAGCAGGCACAGAGGCACAAGCCTTTTTTTTTTTTTAATTATTTTTTCCAGTGCTGCCTATTATCTGGAAAAAAAAAAAAGTCCTTTAAATTATGAAAGGAATTTGAGGAAATGGAAGCGGTAAAAGCTTAAAAATAGGCATGAAGCCTTTGAAATGCTTCCTGCGGCATGTTTATACATTGCCTAAAAAAATTAAATAACAGCAGTAATTCAGGCACAGCAAAGTGGGGTCATTGAGTGGATTTAAGGTAGTCAAAACTAATCACGTAAGCTGATGCAAGTGTTCTGCTGTGGTAAGGCTGCTGCTCTCTGTGGAAAACTTCATAATCATTTGAGCATCATTTCTTTTACCTTTCAAACGTTCATGTATTATCACAGCGGAAGGTCATTTAGCTAGCTATCTTGATTCTTGATCTGGCAAAGTTGCCGTTCAAAGCACGTCTCTACTTTTTGATTATTTAAGTCTTAATGACACGAGAGCTGGGAATGTGGAGAAGAAATTAAGTAACCAGTTGGAGAAAACAAATAACCAATTGGCAAACCTCACAACCATTACTCGAAAAAGTATCTTCTTCCCTTTCCTCTTCTCCCACAGAGAATCCCCTGCCGTGAAGTCTCACCTCGTAAAGCTTATCGATCTCGTGTAATATTTTTGTGGTGTTACCAAAATCAGTATGCTGAGATCCTACTGTGGGAGCAGCCATCCTTTCATATCTTGTAATATTGTTTAATTTTTCTTTCTCATCCGTAGTTTTCCAGTGCTGCTGATGGTATTAGCGTGTAAATTAGCCGTTTGTAGTTAGGGGCTTCGGGTGCCTGCAGTACACATCGCGTACTGCTAGGATGCATTTCAGATAGACGGTGAGCAGTGGCCAGAAGGAGAGCTGTGCTGAAGTCTCAGAAACGTTTAGATTTGCCCCTTAGCAGCCGTCTCGCGATAAAGTTATGCTAACAGGGCAAGGGGGAGATAAGGTACGGTTAAACTCTCAGAAAAATAGTGGAATGATGGGTAAGTGAACCGCTAACATTTTTGCTCACTTCTCCCTCTTTAGCTATGACAGGGGATCCACGTTCAACGTGTTTGTGGGAAAAGGTCAGCTTATTGCTGGGATGGACAAAGCTCTGGTCGGCATGTGCGTGAACGAGCGGCGGTTCGTGAGAATTCCCCCCAAGCTCGCCTACGGAAGTGAAGGCGTCTGTAAGTGCAGCACCGGGCCAGGGAAGAGCCGGTTGTGCAAGCGATTCAGCGGAGCAGATAGAAAATGGGCTCACAGAAGAGAAGGGTGGAATTGCAAGTAGTGAATTTCACAGAGGTTCTCCCCTGCTCAGGGGTGTTTGTTAAGCTTATGGCCTAGCTAATCTCTCTGAACTCCCTCTCCGTGTGGAAGGAAGAGCTGTTGGCTGTAGAGGACCTTCAGCAAACAAACCTTGCTACTGAAGTTAACTATTTATTTATACCTACCTCGCTGTTAAATAGTCGTTGTGTTTTGGCATTGCAGTGCTGCACAAAGTCTTGTCAGTGCCAAAAGCAGCTTTGGTCTGCAGACTCAGAGGCTACAAATGCTAAATCAAGAGCAGTTTGCCTGATGGACATACTTCATAACAGTTCATGTTGCCAGATTCTCTCCCCCCCCCACCTTATGTAGCTGCAACAGTGACAAGGGTACAGGGGGATATAAGCACAAAAAGGAGTAAGTTGTACATCATGGATTTTATTTAGGGAATGCGTAGATTGGTTCCCTTTTCACTGATGTCCTGTAGAAAAAGGGAAGTAAAACAGGTTGTGTTGTTTTGGTTTTGCAGCTGGTGTGATACCCCCCAATGCTGTGCTCCATTTTGATGTGCTTCTGATCGATCTCTGGAACTCGGAGGACGAAGTGCAGGTTCAGACTTACTTCAAACCTGAGAAGTGTCCTCGGACCGTCCAGGTGTCTGACTTCGTACGATACCATTACAATGGAACGTTCTTAGATGGGACCCTGTTTGATTCAAGGTAGGCAGCTGGGTTGTGTGTCTTTGTGTCTCTTAATAGGTATCTGATGTCACTTTAAACCATCACTTCCTCCCCCTTCACGGGTATAACAACTAGTGCTAATTGCCCAGAAAGACAAGAAATGAAAGCTAGCGTCATTTAAGTGTCAGTAATTTATTCAGGGGTACTGACATCAGTACTGACTCAAACCAATAAAACAGTACGTTACTTCTGCATGAGCATTACCAGCACAGATCCTTTCTTTTTAAAAATTCCATTCCCTGTATCTATATCACTATTTATTGCAGTCAGCTAATAGTTTTTATAACCACTGCAGCATAGCTATTCAAGTTAGATACAAGCTTTATAACCTGAGCAGAGCTCATGATGAAATTGAGCTACTAACACTTTCATACTGAGATGTTAAGTTTACAGCATGTGTACTTCACTAAAGCATCATTTTCCACAGAACTTTAATAACAGCTGCTATTATGTTTGTGAGCTACTTTTTAAAACCTCTGTTAGGTTCCTGAAATAGCTAAGCACTCTGGAAAACACTACCTAGCCAGCCCTTGGTAAATCAAGGAGCAATATTTTTGGAGCAGCAAGTTGCGAGTTATATTGTGCGTAGAGTGTGGCTTTTGAAGATTAATATCAGTCTTTCCTGTGGCTGTCTGACGTTTGGTTGTGGTTTTTTTTTTTGTTTTTTTTTCCTTTTTAGCCATAATCGGATGCGAACTTATGATACTTATGTGGGAATTGGATGGCTAATTCCTGGTATGGACCAGGGTCTCTTGGGAATGTGCGTAGGAGAGAAGCGCATTATCACAATACCACCTTTCCTGGCATATGGAGAAGAAGGAGATGGTAAAAGTTATTCTTTTTTTTTTTTTTTTTTTTTAATCCAAGTCCTCATCCTTCTACTTTAGGCAGAACATCCTTCCTAATTAATTGCAGTCCATCATGTTTATCTTGGTTTTTTGTTCTTTATTCTTTATCTTACAAATTCTGTTACTTGGGTTGCTATTTACATATTTTCCCATGGCTAAAAAAGGGGAGGGTAAAAATTTTTTTTTTTTTTTTTTTTTTTTTTTAATCCAAGTCCTCCGTATTTTAGAACAAACTTGTACTTTGTGTATTTTAAATTTATGGGCAAAGTACACTTGTACTTTGTGTATTTTAAATTTATGGTGTATTTCATAATTTATGAAATTATTACCCATTTCAGACAGATGGAACAAAGTGATGGAAAGAGAGGTTCAAAATGTATTATGTACAGGATTGGACTGATTAGAAAGTAAAAGATTTTTTTCTAAATTTAACCAGTGGGTTGCTTAACAGACATATTGTTGATGCAATTGTAATCTTTATATACTGAAATTTCATTTCATTCAGAGAATATAACCTGTGATTAATATCTAGTGGCTCTGAAAACTGAAAGTCGGATGACTGCATAATTGTTTCAATGACTGCCACAGAGAGCAGAAAACTTTTGAAAAAAGAAAAATGTATTTTTAGTTGCAGTTTTGTTCTTTTTTTGCAACCAATGCCCTAGTAATAACTACAAGATGGATTAATTGTCCTATGAGAGTGTATGCAGCCTGCAAGTCCTACATAGAGGTCCCCATGTTAAATGAGGGGGCAGTTAGGTATAGTTTGGGATGCTTCCTTAAATCCTTTCTCTGCTCTAATGTTTAAGAATGTGTCTGTGGTATACAAGATTTCAAATGTACCCCTTCCCTGGCTTCATTACCATTAACGGTGGTGGCCATCTCCATGGATAACAAAACTTTGTGGTGTTATGTTTTAAAATTTTGCCAAGATCTTGAGCTCAATGGTTCTCAGTCAAAGCAACCCATACTATAATTTGTGTATTGATGGAAAGGTACTTTTTCACTGAGATTCTCAATTTACCCTTCTTCAACTTCCCTCGTGTGGTCTCCTGTTTGATATTAATAGGATGGGAAGAGCAGATGTACTGAATTTGTATTCTGATGGTTATTTTATGCAGTTTCATGAAGCGTGTTGGAAATACTGGTAGACTCAACCATGCAGCTCAGATGGAGCTGGTGTATATTGACTAAGGCGGATGTTGCTGAAGAGGCTGTTGTTTTTGGTGAGGCGGTGCCATCACAATAGGAACAGAATGAAATAATTGAGTTGGAGAACTAAGTGACAAACGCACACCTGAAACAAAAAATGACTGACTACAAGCAGATTACGCTAGTTTATTATGGGAGGGGAGGTGCCTGATATTTGGCAGTAGGTTACTTTTCTTCAACAAACATGGTTAAGCTCATTCTAGAACATCAGCTCGCTCTTACCAATTTTCTGCTCTGCCACTTTTGTAGGTAAGGAGATCCCTGGCCAAGCTTCTCTGGTCTTTGATGTGGTTTTGCTAGATCTCCATAACCCCAAAGATGGTATTACTATTGAGAACCAGCATGTGCCTGAATCTTGCGAGCGGAGAAGCCAGACAGGAGACTTTCTCCGATACCATTACAACGGCACACTTTTGGATGGCACATTGTTTGATTCCAGGTAACCGCACCGTTCAGCCCTACAGATCCCATTTCCAGTTTGGCTCGTCTGTCTTGTACATAATATACCCAAATACAATTCTTTGCTTTTCCTTCCTTTTTGAATTTTGTGAGTGGACTTGGAGTCTTCTCTTCTTAAAAAACTCATAGAAACCTTTTTAGTATAGGAAGGCAGACAGGGACCTATTTTGTATTATGACAGTGTCACAGATGCCACCTAGGGGTGGTGATCCACCTGGTAAAGCTATGTGTGCTTTAGACACGCATGCCTGAAGACTCTCTGCCCTCTAGAGTTTATCTGCCAAATAGGTAATACTCCTGAAGAGCGAGAAAATAAATACGATTCCCATTTTATGTCCTGAGAATTGTGAGTCAGTGAGCTAGTGGCTAGTTCGAGGTTAATCTCAGGACAGCTGTTCCCTTTGTACTGGAAAGCTGTTTGCATTTTGAAGGCTAATGTCTTTCAAGACTGAATTCAGTGATGGGGTTTCTGTGATAAAGGAAGAGGGATTACTGTCACTTCAGATTTCAACGCTCTCTGGGCGTATGAGGCTCATGTACAGAATTCTATGATGAATAATACCCTTGTAGCTTCCTGTCACTTTTGTTTGCTCTTTAACGAGCAGTACTTTACTTCCCCACTCCAGCTTTCAGAACAGCTGGCACAAGTAGCTAAAAAGACTTGAAAATGAGCCACTGTAAAATGTTTTACAAAATAAACTAAAGAAAAATTTCTTCATACTTCTACAGCTGCTGCCAGCTGAAGATCAGGATCAGTTTGCAAACATTAGCTGAGTAGTATGCCATGCGTGCTACTTCCCGTGAGGAGGAGTGAGGGAATTGTAGCTCATGTAATTGAATTGAGGTGCGGTAAGGTTCAGAATCAACAGTGACCTCCCCATTCAGCTGCCCAGCTTGGTGGGAGGATAGAAAGCAGGAGACCTGCATCAACAGCCATCACTGTAGACCTTAATTTACAGCTTATGAAAACTTGTAAGCTAACAACTTTAAGCTTATCCACAGTGCACCTGCCCAGAATCTCTCTTTTTTGAGATGTAAATGAGTATTGTCTGTAGTAATTAAACAAATTTTGAAAATGGCTGTAGTATTTATATTAGCATTGTTGTCAATAAATAGTAATAAGTGCTCTGTAGACAGCAGCCTCTACAACATTCTAAAGTGCTGACAGTTGTTAGAGGGCTTATTTGTTAGAGCATTGTATCCTGGCTTCCCGCAGAATTTACAAGAAAGGCCAATATCTAACAAGTATCTATGAAGAAATAGAGCAGCTAACATTAGTTATTGAAAGCCTTGGAGCTGGCCAGGAACAAATTTCTCACTAGTACAGGGAGCATACCGAAAGCACTGTGAATGGCTGGAGTCGAGAGCTCTAATAATCTTTTCCTTCATTTTTTTCCTCTGCAATATTCAGCTGCAGAACTGCCCCTGGGCAGCTCAGCCAGGGCTGTCTGGACTTAAAGCAGTTGAATAAACCTCTGAGTTACATCAGCATCTGTATTGGTCTTCCTCTTTCCCAGACTTGCCTCGTAAAGATGAATTAAAACCTTTCTGCCTTCCCTTCCTTGGGTTATGCCTTCATGTAGTATGCCTTGAAGAAAGCCAGAAGACAGACACATCCTTGTAATAAACATCATTTGTTGCCGTAGGCTTGTTTTAGTCTGTCATTAGGTGTTGAAGCAGATCCTTCCACCTACGTAAAAGTGATTGGCATAGTTTGGAAGGGAAGGATAGTATTGGTACTGTTGTGTTGTCATGACTCATTTTAATGCTGTGCATCCCAGGAGAAGCTATTTATCCCACCTCCTGCTTGTAGTAGTTGAACTACATAGCTGTGGTTGCAAAATGAGATAGTCTGAAGGGTGTCTTATGAAAATGAATGTAAACTATATCTAGTTGATAAGCACTTACTAAAGTAGAATTGGGGGAGAGGAAAATTTAAAGGAGAAAACTGATTTTTTTCAGTTACTTATCAAAACATGTTTTCTGTTTAGTCTAAAATACATAAATAGGTGAGATTTTCCTTGAAGGTATAGTAGAAATGCATTTGCAAATAAGCTGTTCCCTAGCCAGGGTCCCAGTACTGGTTAATAAATGACGCGTGCATCACTGACTGATGAAACTTGGTGGCCTAGAGTCATGAACATGGTGATTGCATTGTGCCTCTCTGGTGCTAGTTAATGACTGTGTCTTTGACCTTAGCTGGTTTAAGAATTGTGTTGCAGACCCATTGCAAGATTCTGTGTTTTCTTGAGTACACCTGACACTGCTAAGATGCAAATATTTTCCATAGCTATTCACGAAACCGTACATATGACACCTATGTTGGGAAAGGTTATGTGATTGCTGGGATGGATGAAGGTTTGCTAGGTGTGTGCACTGGTGAAAGAAGAAGAATAATAATCCCCCCTCATCTTGGATATGGAGAAGAAGGAAGAGGTGAGCTTGACTTCTCATTCAAGTCTTACATTATTAATGATGTTTCCTTTATTGTTTAGTGCATCTGCCTGTAGTTCCATTGTTTGGGCATTTGAAAGGCTTATGAATTGGTTCATTATTTTGCAGGCTTGCAACTGACAGGATTACACCTAGAATTTGCAAAATTATTTTAATTACCTAAATAGGCAGGACAATAAGAATGCAGAACAATCTCACATGTAATTGGTGACCTGAAATTGTTTGGACAATTAGTGTTTCAGGCACATTGGTACTTGGTAACCTGAATTCATTTGGATAATCACTGTTTCAGGCAGACTGGTACTTGGATGCCAGGAGCTCTGCAGCATGAGATCTTCCTTCCTGTGTGTCTTAACAAGCTCTGTATGCTAAAGGCATTCATCGTGTTACGTTTTCTTCCCTGTTCCTTCCCCAGCCACAGGTTTTGTGGACTCCTAAGCTGCCTCTGTAAACGGTGGATGCATGTAACAGCAAAGTGTCTGTGTCTGTATAACACACAGTTAAGATTCCTTTGGGAAAACTCATTACTACCTAAAAAGATTGCTGTGAGAGGTTGAATGTGATAAGCCTTCTAGCCAATCACACTTCTATGGCTGGTGTTTCAAAAGGTACCTCCTGGGATGTTATTTGGAAAAAGTGATTTATAAGAAAAGCCTCTCTTCTGGGAATGCAAATTCTATGCTGTTGATTTGGGAATTAGGCTCCTCTAACAACAAAACCCACTCCTGGGTCTGGATGTGTCTATCAACCCTGGTATTGCAATTGCATGTTATCTTGTGAAGCGGGGAGGGGGGGAAGAAGTTGCTTGCTATCAGGACGTTTTAAGGAAATGTAGCCTTTTAGACATAATGGCATTCCTTGAAGCATGAGAAGTCCTATGAGAATTTTGATGATCAATAATTAATTGGTACGTGAAACACAAATCAGTCATTTGAGATGGTCACAGGATATACATGGTTATTGCTTCATTTCTGCGTAATTTTCAAATTCAGAATAATGGAAATTTTTTCCTTCACTGTTGAACTGAGTGCGTGTTTAGTGCTTTTCCACTGGTTCTCTTTCCTACCTTGGATGCAGCTTGCATCTGTTCTGTGTAGAGGAGATGTAATCCTTTAATTCTGAAAAAGAAGAGCAAACTGACTCAGTACAGACACAGTGGGAATACGTATTCCTACAGGGTGCAGGTCATCAGGTTTGGCTGTTTGGCTACCATTTCTTTCTCTATTTGCCTCATTTGCTTCCTATTTAGGAAAGATTCCAGGATCTGCAGTGCTGGTCTTCGACATCCACGTGGTTGACTTCCACAACCCCTCAGATTCGGTCAGCATTACTGTTAACTACAAACCTTCCAACTGCACCGTACTGAGTAAGAAGGGAGATTACTTGAAGTATCACTATAATGCTTCGCTCCTGGATGGTACTTTGCTAGACTCGACGTAAGTATATCACCTGATAAAGAAAATGTCCCTAGCAGCTGTGAAAGCGGAATGAACTGCCTGCAAAGCAGGCTGGCGGGGGATGAAGAATTTTTAAGTGAAAAATTGAGTAGTTATGTAGAATGCGTTTTTCTTTTTACGTTTGGCTGCCTAAGATACATAGGAGGAGGAAAAGAAAAAGACAAGCTGTCATAGCGTAATGAGAGAACTGGGAACAAAATGGATGTAGGAGTGCGTTGGAGAAGAACATAAACACTTCGGGTGGAGTGACGAAAGGGGTTGTCTGCATGGCAGTCTGTTTGAACGGGCTAATTCAGGTGTCTAGGCCGGTCACAGTAGAATGATACAGGGCTCCGCATGAATGAACTGTCCAAGTGTATTCAGTTTCTTGGGTAGGATTTGCACTCTGCACTGATTCAGTGCTCCTGAGAGAGATCTGGTAGAGGTACTCGGTGCAGTCTTGTTAAAGCTAGCTTGATTTGTAGTAAATGGTGTTTTATAGTAAATGTGTTTTGTAGTAAATGGTCACCGTCATGTCTGTACCACACGTGGGTGCTGCTTTTCCTGTATTGTAGTGTTGCAGTAAGTGCCAGCGTGGAGGAACTCTCCGAGGGCTTGATCATCACGGTGATTATAATGTTCCTCTTCCTCCTTCCTGTTGACAGTAGGTTTATGAGGGAAGCAGAGATTGCTCCAGTCTGTCTCATATAGGCCTGAAGTAATCCCATAGCACTCTTTGCTGCAGCTACAAGAATACTTCTGCTAGCTTTTTTTCTGGCTTCCGCTTTTGGATAGCGCAAGTCATCTAAATAATATTTTATTTTTGGAAGGGAAGTAGGGAAAAGCTATTTTTAAAGATGTTCTAATTAACATAGGAAGCAGCTCATAGTTTTCACAGTGTACACAATAGCTTGCAGAGCTGAGAAGCTGGCCTACATTGAAGCACATGATGTGATGCGGTATGTGTGCAAGTAACGTGTTCAGCTTCAAAACACCTTTTATATGGCAGGGAGGCTCCATTCCCATTTTGTAGCAGGAACCAAGGGATGTCAAGACAGTCTTACTCAAAGCAGTTTATAGAGAATCAAAGATCATAAATCTTGTGCTCCTAATTTTAAGGCTGACCTCCCAGCCACTAAATTGTTTTCTTTCCAAATAATACACTGTTGTACAAGCGTGTCCTGCAGTGGTACAGCCAAGCCAAATAACCAAAGAAAGAAGACTGACAGAAGAAAGGGTCCTGCTGTTGCGACACAGAGAGAGTAGAAAGTCTTAACACTGCATGCTCCGCTTTCAGAAGCACAATACATGTTTAACCTCTGGGGGTTTTAACTCGTGCTAATTTCTGATTTTAGAAATGAGCCACCAGCAGCAAGGTGTGATTCAAAATATAATGTGGTTAAATAGCAGTAGTAGTAGTACACTGCCAAGCTGTCTTGGTTAAGTGACTAGTACATTAGAGTGACTGATTTCATTAAAAGGATGGCTGATCCATGTGAATGCACCCAGCTCCCTAGAGGTTGGTAGTTCTGGGGCAAATGTACATCTGGATTTTTTACATCTGCTAAAAAAATCCAACTTTTTTAGTTAAAAATATTTGAAAGGCAAAAGCCCTTATTTCGAGATAAAATACTTTGGGGGTTTAATTGGCAGGATTAATGATTTTAATTGGATTTCATTCAAGAAGCCTATAATTTTAGTACCAGAGGACTTGTCAACAGTAGGGACACTTCTGCTTGGAGTTGGCTGTAACTTGCTACCTTGAGAACAACTTCAGGTAAACGCTTGGTAATTTTTTGGCAATGACAGGACACTAACCAGGAACTGCTGTTTCTGTGGTAATATTGAACAACAGAAATGCTCTATTGTATGTTGAAGGTTTTTTTGGTTTTGTTTTTCTCCCCCACCCCCGCCCCCCCTCCAGACACAGCCTTGGCAAGACCTACAACATAGTTCTGGGGTCTGGACAGGTGGTCGTGGGGATGGACATGGGCCTTCAAGACATGTGTGTCGGGGAACGACGAACAGTCGTTATTCCACCTCATCTTGGTTATGGAGAAGATGGAGTTGGTAAGCGAGTGAAACCTATTGCAAATCCCCTTAGCACTGCTTGAGTAGCTGAAACACAAGTATGCATGTTTTGTTACTTGCTATGCATGAGGACATAAGGTGAGTGGCTCTTAGCTGCTTGAATGGGATTTCTTCAGAGTTTTTTCATTTCATTATTTTAGAGAACCCCCCCCATTCCCCAATGTAATGAATATACTGTCTGTGTTGCATTTTAAGTCGCACTGTTACTGTGGCCGATATAAAGGCTATCCCAATACAAAAGGGAACACGTGCGCCCTGTAATGTTGCTTTGTCAAAACAGAAAGCTCCAGGTGCTCTGGTGTTGCAGAGGGAGTAAACACTTCTCCATGGTGGGGAATCGGGTACTCATGCTTGGACATGCGACATGTTATTCAGGAAACAAAACTGAAGGGGACTGTTCAGCACTAATATGTTAGCAAATCCAAAGAAAACTCAAAATTCAGAAGCTGCATAAACTGAATGTAAGACGTGAAACTGTTATCAGTGCTGTTGAAACCTCAACCATAATACATTTAAGGCAGTTTGCTCTGTTTTAGAGCATTGATGCTTATCAATTTTTAATGACAGGGAAAACGATATTAAAAGGAACAATGTAGAAGTGACAGGAACTCTCATATTGCAGTATGTCTGGTTGTTACTGGTCTTCTGAGTTGAAGTACTTGGGGGAAAGAAGTCTATCAGGAGATCACCAAGATCAACAAACTCTGATTGATATGGAAGCAGTTGTATAAGTTGCTGTGTTCTTTGAATGCCTCCACACCAGATTGTATTTTATAAAGACTGTCTGTCAAGCATCACATGTCAAGCTTAATGGAGAATTCATTTATGATAAGAGATAAAGAAGCATTTTCACTTATACCTGGCTTCCACAAAAATTATGAATGAAAAATTAGTATTATAAATATGCAACGTTTTATACTATTATCTATAGTTGCATAGTTATATAAAAAAAATACATTTCCTCATAAAATAAAAAAAATCTGCTGTGTTAAAAAACATTATAAACATACCTGTGATAGGTATTTGCCATCATTCAAATTACATTCGATATACATGATCTGAAACATTGCATGATTGTTAGTGTTTTGGTATGTACCCGTCTATCTGAAGAAATTGCTCGTTTGCTACTGGACAGAAGTTAGAGGTGACCTCGATTTTGTTTTTCAAGGATGAATTAAACTCCTTCCATGGTTTCATTGAGGTGACATCCCAAGCTGTTGCAACACTGTTGAGTTTGTCAGTGGTAGCTTGATACACAGTGTATTAGCGAGATAAAGGAAAATTGATTAATTCCCGCAGTTTTGCCTTTCTAAGTAAAAAAATGGCTGCAGTTTTATTATGAAAGCTTCCTTTATGTTTTCATCACCTCTGCTGAAGTGAACAGGAAGGTTTGGTGGGCTTGGGCTCACGGGGCTTGGGGATCACAGTAGAAAACCTGTTGGAGCAGGAAGAGAAATTTAATTATGGATTAAAAGGAAATTACTCTCCAGTGTAAGTGACGATAAGTACCCCTTTTTGCCATTTGTTGTGACAGAAGGAGAAGTGCCTGGCAGTGCTGTGTTAGTTTTCGACATTGAACTGCTGGAACTGGTGTCTGGCTTGCCTGAAGGGTACATGTTTGTATGGAACGGTGAAGTCTCTCCCAATCTTTTTGAAGAAATAGACCAGAATCATGATGGAGAGGTTCTTTTGGAGGAGGTAAGCTGAAACAATGAAAACAATTGCAGTGGTTTTCTTCTACCACCATCATCAAGGTACTTGGATGTTGAAGAATGGGCTCTTCTCTCCTCTTTTCTCACACCGTGTTTGTTGTCAAGTTCACAGGAAGGCAGTGTGTTAGTTAAAACATGATTATTTAACTTTAGAACTGAAAAGAAAAGGGAAATGTAAGAATGGCCATACTACTTAAGACCATTTACTATTGTGGTCTCCTTGGTCAGCAACAGATACTCAGGGCAGAGGGGTAAGAGGCAGAGTTCGTGTTCAACGATCCTTTGCTGTGTCAGCCTTCACCGTGTCTGTTAGTTGGTGGTTTATGGTGAATTCTTGAGCCAAAGCTGAGCCTGCAGCAGTGTATCCAGGAACTGTCTAATTGCTTTTGGAGCCTGGCAGTGCCTGTGGCTGCTCCTTCCACAGGTGAATTCTGCGCTGTGTGAACAAGTCCTTCCCCTTGCTTGCTTTTAAAATCTGCAGTGTGAGAATTGGGTGCCCTAGTTGAAAGCCGCTTGCCTTTGCCACACAATCTCTCTTAATATAAACCTCTGTGAGGTTTTCCTCTGCATTGTTTTCTTAACTGAGGAGTTCTATTTTTTTATTCTCTCCTTCAGTCGTCTTTGTTGCCTTTCTCTATCATTCTGTTTTCTGTTCTTGCTTGTTGGAGCAGTGCTGCCTGCAGCTCTCGGGGTGCAGGCTGCAGACCTGTGAAACAGCACGAGATGCCTTCCAGCATTTTAACAACCAATGGGGTAAAATCAAAACCATGTTTTCCCCTTTCCTAGCACTCTCTTCCACCTCTTTGTTTTCCTTCTTTCTCTATCTTCCCTCTTGTGTTTACCTCCACTTCTGCCCTTGCAGAGAAGAAAAGAGCTTTTATCAGTCTAGAGCATGAGTGAGGTGGGATGGGACTGTTGATATTCACATCCTTCTGGTCACCTAGCAAGGAGGAGAAGGAGAAGCCAAGGAGACACAGGAGGGTGCTTGGCCTAAAAGGTGAAAATGAATGTCAGAAATAGCTCTCACTGCTGAAGCTTGTTCAACAGGTAGCGCCAGAGATAACAGTAATTAGAAAAGTTGTGTTTGATTGTGGATTTTCTGGTTTTGGCACGCTAGCAGTATGACTTCTGTCAGATGTTGTCTAATCACGTTGAAGAAATCCATCATACGTATCAGGAAAAGGATTTTCAGGGAAAACTAACTTTGTAACCTTGCAACCTTTTCATCCTTCTTCCCCTTTCCCCCACCAAAGTCATGGGAGTCAAGTGGAAGGCGTAATGCCTGAAGCTACTTTAACAAATCTCATGGTATCCTGATACTTAAAAGTCTCATTTCTGTGTTTCATTCTTTTTTCTTGTGTGTTGTTTTTTGTAAGATGCAGGTAGACATCTATTTTACAGGGTGACCTGCTTGTATCAGCATGTGGAATTAAAACCCCCTCCCTCCATATAGATCTGTTCCTATGTCATTCTCTGTTCAACTCATCTTCCCCCTAAATCATGAAAAAGAACTTTTCTTCTTGTGGGCCCAGGACCCACTGGAATAAGTGAGGAAATTCCTGTTGAGCTCCAGAAAGAGAGATGTAACTTCACGTGTCTGCTCCAGTTAGTCCAATTTAGGTTGTAACAGTGTACATTTATGTACATATGTACTTAATAAGTAGTAAAATGCTAAATAGTTGAAACAAATAAATACTACTTTTGTAAATACCTCTTCAGTTTTAAATGTCTGTTTCATGGTGAGCTGCTTTCTCCTCCTTTCCCTCCACCTAGTTTTCAGAGTACATTCAAGCTCAAGTCGATTCTGGCAAAGGAAAACTGGCTCCTGGTTTTGATTTTGAAAAGATTGTTAAAAATATGTTCACCAATCAAGACCGGGATGGAAATGGTAAAGTTACTCCTGAAGAATTCAAGTTGAAAGACCAGGAGGCCAAAGAGGAACACGATGAACTGTAAAGCTAGGGAAAAAAGAAGAGTCCTGAGCTGACCTACTGTTCGAACACGTGTACTGGAAAAGGTTTCGGCAAGCATGTTTCTGAAAGGTTAGCGCTCAGCTAGTTAGCCTGTGTCTGCCTGTGCCTGTGTGCTGGTAGGCTGTTAAAATAGGAAGAGATTTTCAGTTGGAACTGTTAGGTATATTTGAAAGAAGTGTTAAGTGCCTCAAGATAGGATGTATAAACGGATAAAGAGCGTACTGCCATACGTGGTGTCGTGAACCACGTGGTCTGTTTTTATGCTAAAGATTAGAAGTCGTCATTGAACAATACGCAGTCACTTGGATGGATGGATGGATGGATGGTCGGGAGCAAACTTACCGAGTGCTTTTTTTTGAGAGAGTTTTAAAAAACCTTCTGTATCCAAAATATTTCTGCAGGAGAACAAACCAGAAAACATTCCCCATGAAAATAACCTGTAAAAATTGTCAGACATTGAGCCCGGTTCCTTTCAGAAGGCATGAGCACTCTGTGCAGTAACTAAACAAACTCAGAGGAATATTTGCCAGCAAGAACTCCGATTTGCAAATTGCAGAACATGCAAATGATAGCTATGCCATTGCAAAATTTCCATAAGCTGTGAATTAAATTAAACAGGCCTAGAATTGTAACTGTGTGCGTGTTGGGTTTTTACCTTACGAAATAAAAGTTTGCTACCAGCTGTATTGTATTTAATTAATGACCTCGACTCTTCTTGCTGGCCTGTTGAAACAGTGTTCTGATCAGTGATTCCCAAACGTTTCTAGTTGCAACCTTATTTATAGTTTTGTTAGACTTTAAATATTAGTATTATGGGGTCCAAATACTGTCATAAATATGGGATACAATTGATTTTGTGTTGGGCTTCTGCCTCCTATTTTGGGAATTGTTAGGCTACGGAGCAAGCACTTAGAGCTTATGCAGCAGAGCGGTCTGGCGTGGCGAACAAACAAAAAGACAGTGACAGAATCAAGAAACAGACCCATCTGTTTATGCCTGCAAATGGCCTGGCCTATCCCTCAATACAAAATTGGCCCAGGGAGTGCTGTTTAGATTATGTGAACTCTCGAGACAGTCACCCGTTACATCTATAAATGTGGCAAGCTGTTTAACAGAAAATACACTAAGCAGAGATATTTTTCTGGAAGGCCATATGATCCCCCCGCTCAGTACACTACATGTAAAGAGCACAACTGTATAGTGTGACACTGTCAAAGACGAGTAGAAAGGGAGTTGTGTTTCCATTATATGCTTTGTGTCTAGTTTCTTGCTTTTCTTGATCTGTACATGTGGGTTGTAAGCTCCCTGAGATGGTCTTTTTAAAACCTGGTGTTTCAATTGGACGAAAACATTTTGTATTGGTTTTTAATACTGTTGTTACAGGAGGTGCAGTGGAATATTTTTTTTTTGAGTTTGATACCATTAAATGTTGGATAACTGATTTTTTTGTTAAATAAAATGTTGATCAACTATTACTGCTAAAGTTTCTTTTTTTTTTTTCTCTTTCTCTTTCTTTTTTTCTTCTCTTGATGGGCTGGGAGCTTGAGTCGAAGCAAATACCCTTCGTGCAGCACTCTTCTCTTGCACACAGCAGGCTTATCCTGAGTCTGTTCAATATTGCTGTGATCTTCAGAAAAAATATTTTAAGCTGAGACTATTTGATTCAAAATGATTTAAAATAATAAACCACAATAAAAGATTTTTTTTCATACTTCAGACAGGTGAAGCAAAGTCATTGTTTGGCTTTAGGAGGAGCTCCCTAAATTGCCCATCCCACATTGCCGTCAGCTGGGACAGTTGGGAGGGCGATGGTTCTCTCAGCTGGGGGCTCCAAGTCTCTCGTTGAACAAAATTGTCTTACCTAAGAAACATTTCATTCCCTAGGCTAGCAAAAGCAAACTCACTGGGCTTTGTGTTTGAGGTTTGAAGTTTTCACTTCAGCTGTGGCTCAAAACCCACATATATTGCATGTAAAATGGAAGTCTGGTCTGGTTTGGGTTGATGTAAATACCGGCCCTTTACAGCAGATGTAAATACTATGGATATCAGTGGCTAGCACTTGCAATCCAAATGTTTATGACCTGAATGGCTCCTTAGAAGCGTCGCCATCTTGTGAAAGCAGCTTTCTCAGAAGACTTGCACAAAGGTTTCCCCTTTCTTTTATCTGGAAGCAGACTGCTCGCTTGTTGCTGCGGTTGAAATGCATTGCTTCTGCACGCTTACGGAGCTGGGATACGGAGCAGGAAGCAAGTTGTGATTGAGCGCTGCCAGAAGCAGGCCTCGGGGTGGAAACAACTCCTTACTCTGTTCTCACACAGGCCCCTGAAACCCAAGTGTCTCTTCGGCATATCCAGGGTTGTTTTGTGTGAGGAAAATCTTAGTGAATAGGTCTTTCTGCATGGAGGATCATTCCAGGTGGTTCCCAGGAGGTGGTCTGAAGAGTGCCTAGCAAACTGGGACAGCAGAGCCGTGCTGCAGGGCAGATGCAGGACAAAGAGCAGCACCACGCACAGAAATGCAGTCAGTTGGTAATCCCGAAGATCGCTGTGCTGGATTTTTTTGGAAGCACAGGTCAGTGATGGGAGAGCAGGTATGACTTTACCAGTGCCTCCAGCTGGGGTAAGCACATCTGAAATTCTCATTCCATCGCTCCTTAGGCCTTAGCAAACATGGCCTGTGAGCCATCTAAAATGATGTTTTTCTGTCAAGAGCGTTTTTGTTGCCCCCTCACCTCATCCTCCCCCAGTCTGGAGGCTGCCATTTTGGAAATGAGAATGCAGCTTTGGGGGAAAGCAGAGAATAAACAGAAAAATTTGCTGCAAAATCATATTTATACTGGGCGTTCACTTGCCCAGACAAAGGCAACAGCAGCCAAGGCTACCTGGCTGCATTAGACTAAACTGCGTAAAATCCAGAATTTTTGATTACTTACATAGACCCTGTCAGTTCTTTCCCTTTCTGTTGGCAGCTACCAGCTCCCCCCTCACAGGAAAGCTCGGGGCTCCCAGAAAAGAGTTGTACTGACGTTGAATCCTCTACCCGTCGTTTCTCGGGGTGTGAGGCAGCCTGTTGAAAGTGCGGGCAGTCTGCTTGCCAGTTAACCAAACCGGAGCCTGGGGGCCGGGTGAGCTGGCTGGGAAGTGAAATTGTGCTGGTGCGGACTGGGAGAGCTCAGCACAGCCCCTGCACCTGCAGCGATAAATAAATCCTTCCGCGTCGCCATCCTGTTAGAGAGGGTGGCCCGTGGTGGAGATAGATAGAAGGGAAATGCTTGCTACCTCAAAGAAAGAAGTGAAAAATAATTTTTTTTATGCAGACAGTATCTATTTAGATACTTCCTTACATACTTAACTAAGTTATTCAGAAAAACAGATGATAACTCTTTAGGGGTCATTAATACCCGGATGAAAATGGATGGTTTAGCTAACGAGAGACTCCCCAGAAACGAGAATGCTGCTGCTGCCCTAACGCAACAGCCAGGTGCTATTCTCAGAGCTGGGCAGCTGACCCCTGCGGGGCAGCTGGCTGATGAAAGGAAGCTGCCTGCAGCCAAGGTTGGGAATTACCTACTGGATTGTCAGAGGCTCAGTGGAAGAGAAAAGGAACACGGGCGTGTACGCGGAAAAATCCAGGTATGTAGAAATATTTTTTCTGTGTGATTTTTCTGTCCTAATGTGACAGTGATACTTTCTGCTGTATAACTCTGCCTGTTCCAAATATATTCAGAAATTATACTTAAATCAGAGTTTGCAGTTGTTGAACTCAAATATCATTTTCTATCTGTGCAAAAAAAAAAAAAAAAATCCAGATTTTCCTTTAAGCTTAAAAATGGTATATTTAGCTAGTACTTGGTGCAAGTTTTTGGCTCAGTTCAGGACTATTAGTGTGTGTTTGACAGTAAGAGGACATTTGAGCTGGCTGCAACACCCGCTCAGAAGGAGGAAACATTTTTAGCTAAATAAAGGTCCCAAATACTTGATCTTGGACATGTGCTACAGACAGAACAGATATTGTGAGTAGAGGGAAAACAAAAGTAACAAATTCACTTAGCTTTGGTGCTTATTCCTTGCTTTAAAGTTTAGATATACTCTTTTGGCTATGGGAAAATGGGCTGGGTAATGTATGATGCCTTTCTTTCCAAACTGAATCATAAATGATAGGGTTGCAAAATGTTTCTGGTTAGAAATTTGATGTAGAAGGACATACTGTGAATAGTATCTCTTTCCTAAAACTGAATGCAGGACCTGGATAGCAATTACAACAGTTAGACTTGCTGGAGAAGGATGGCTTAACCTGTAGCTGCAGTGTTAATTTTGTTTGCAGTTAACTTTGTTCATGGTTTTGGAGAAGCAACTGATACTATCAATTCTTATTTCTAGCAAACAGACTAGCAACAAAAAGATGGGATTTTTAAAAAGTGGAGAATATCTAAAAACGCATCTTGTGTTTTCCCTTAACTACCATATAAGCCAGAGTTATGGTTGGCAGTGGGATGTGAGATGATGAAAGGATACTGATAATCTGTACAGCATTATGTAGGTTTTTAAAATCAGACCTCCTGGTTCAGGTTGATCATCTAAGTAGCTGTTTTTTTTAGAAAGCTATATGTATGGCATTTCAAAAAGTAAATTGGCGTGCAGATACCCTTTGTACAGGATTGCCTAGAGAGCAGATGATTGCAACGTGGCTTAGTTGCTCTTACGTCCTCATGAAGGTTCACGGCCCTGGTGGACCCTTAACACAGCATCTGAGGCTGACAGGATTTAATTATAGAAGGAGAAAAGTGTGCTGGAGATCTTAACTTACCTGCCTCCTTGTGGAAGGGTAAGAATCCTTTTCTTTAAGTGATGGTCATCGTGGACTGAACATTTGGTGACTGACCATTCATTGTCCATCTGCTTGGAGGTGAGATTGGAAAAAATCTTCCTTACATAATGCTTGAGAGATGGTTGCTTGATCTGAATTCCTCTACCAAGGCAAAGAGTTTTAAGTGTCCATGTAGTTGGGAAACCATCAAATGATCACTTCTGATATGCCTGGGCTGTAGGCAGGCTGAATACTAATTTCAGTTACATGGATTAAGATGTAGTTGGAGACCTGTTTGGGTAACGGCTTTTAAAGATGCTGCCTAATCCTTTTCCATATTGCTCTGCATGTGCTTTTCTAGATAGTTTGACTGGGATTTTTGTTTCTTTTTTGTGTGTTGGTTTGTTTTTTTTTCCAGTTGTGGGTGGGCTGAACAGCGAGATCCTCATCACACTGCAGGAGCAATGACTTGCTTCCTGTAGGGCTGGCTGAGGCTGAGGCAAAATTCTGGCGGGAGGATCAATGAGTTCATGTGAAATCCTGAGGCAGGTTGGATGAGAACATGGGGCAGTCCTGCCTCTCAGAAACACCGCACAGAGAGACCAGAATTGCCCCCTCCTTTTCACCGATGCTGGGATGGCCGGGGAAATGCGTTATGCTTGTAGCCAGAATGATCTTGTGCCAGAGACAGTGTTGTTGACGCATCTTGTGCTGTGGAGCTGTGGCTATCATCAGCCACTTTTCACATACTCTAAATTTTAACTGTTATCTCCATTCCGAAGGTAACCTGCCTGTAAGCGGAAAATTTTGTCCCAGTGTAAACTTTGGGAGTAATGCCTGATAATTAGCCCCTTGCAACTGGAGACTGGTTGGGTAAGCAGTGCATCCAAACACTGTGGTATTTTTCAGAAGGCCTTTGCCTTTTGGACTTTTATTTGGCAGCTATGACAAAAGAGCCAGCATGATTGCTTTTTAAAAAAAACAAAAACCACCAAAACCAAGAACCACCAACCCTACCCCCCCTAAAACCTTGATGTTAGCTCAGCTAAAGTAAATTCTGTAGGTGCCTAAAACCCAAAATGCAGACTGTTAAAGAAATAATGTCTGCTGACCTTCCCTGGAAATGCTGCAGCATTCCCTAAGAGCTTTGCTGTGCTCAGGGTGATGCAGACCATGCTGCTGAGCGGGCAGCTCACACTGACGTCCCGCAGGCAGTCGTAGAAGACATTGCCCTGCTTGTCTTGCCGGCAGTGCTGAAACCGTAGTGTTGGCAGAAGATGGCTGCGCAGAAGGCTGCTCCCTCCCTTGCAGTTTTGCAATACACCCGTCCTGCCCTCCTCCCTGGCCCAGGCAAATGGGAGGCGCAGGGAGAGAGGCCACAAGGACTGGGTGTGAAGGTTGGCTCCATGGCACATCCAAGCAGGAGAGGAAAGGGAGAAAGTGTGGACCTTGTGCGCTGGGGAACATCCTTCCCGCCCCTCCTGGCTGGGTGTTCGGGGTGCCTGCAAGCCTGTCCTGTCGCGCTAAGGTTGGCATGTTCGCGTACAGTTCCTCCTGCGCTCTTCTGTGACGACTTGTACAGGGCTGCTCTGTCCCTGGCTGCTCCAAGGGGATCTGCTACACCCCGGCCTGCTGCCCCTGCCTGTGACTCCTTCCACCCACG